GGAAGATCTCCTGGAGAAGGGAATTCTCCAGTGTTCTGGCCTGGAGAATTCCATGGCTTGTATAGTCCATGGGATCCCAAAGAGTTGGACATGACTGAGAGACTTTCACTTTCACTCACTTTCACTTTCAATACAAAATAAATTACTGTGGAGTTTGAAAGTACTAGTAAATAAAGGAATAAAAACCCATATTTTCCTGAAAAATATTTTTATGATCTATAAACTTTGCCAGAACTTTGTTTCTCATAGGTTAGGATTGATTCTTGGGTTTGTAAATGTCTTAATATTTTATCATTTAGTTACTTTGCAATTTGAGAAATTTGGATTTGAACAATCATTAAATAATGATATAATGGATAAATATACTACCATTTAATTTTCAGCAAATATTCTCCCTCATAAAATGCCAAATTATAGAGTAAATCCTACAATAGATAAAATAACTTTCAGGCAAACTACTGTCATTTAGCTTTATTCACCATTGACTGCTTGTATTATATGCACACAAAAAAACCAATTTATGAATGCAAAACTGGATTTATTTTGATAGAACCAAACCATTTAAACTTTCATATTGCATTGAATTTGCATATGAGGGAATTTGAACATTGGAAATTTGATTGCTAACCAGGCAGGTAATACCAATAGCTGTGGAGAAACCACCCACCCCCCCCCCACACACAAAATTTAGCATCAAAAAATGAATTAAATATTTCCCCAAACATCTGGAGACATAAAGATTACATTCTGCATAATATATTCTGACCCACTTTCATTTTGATTCATTATTGTGTTCATCTCTAGTTAACATTAATATTAATTAACAGGTACCTCAAGGTAAATTATTTCCTGCAACAATCCAGAGCCCTCCAAAATTTCTACATAGCTTACCTATAGCAAGTTCTCCTGTATCCCTCTTTGTTCAACAATGTGACAGCAGAATTACATGCCCACACTGCCTGATAACATCTATGTCTGTGCCTTGAGATTTCACCAACTGGAGGACAACTTGATCAGAACACAGCTAGGACGAGCTCTCTCAGCTGGCCTTTCACCTCTGCTTTAAGAGTAGGAGGTCCGTGTTGATATTTATGACTGGCTTCAGGGACATGTTGTCAGAAAAAGATATCCAATGATCAAATAACATTCAATATTCCCACTCAGAAAGTTTCTGGGGGTTTCAGTATCTCATTTACTTCACACTCTGTCAGACAAGAATCATAGAGAATTAAAATGCCAAATTTTATCATCATCTCGTAGATCAAACCAAGCATGAACTTTAGCAGCCAACATAAACTTGAAAAATCAAAGCCTCTTCAGACTCATGAGGGTTGGAAATAGTCAATAACTAAATCAAAAATCTCTAAAAATAGATTAGTTGATGATTTATAGATAAAAATAAAAAATATCAAACTGTACATAAATATCACCCTAAATGTTTAAGTGCATACTGAGGATAGCAAAACTGATTGATGCAATACAGTAAATGTATGCAATATTGGGTTGACTGATTTGAATAAAGGCAGATTTCTTTGTCTTTTTTGTGTTCTCTTTAAATTGTCTGAAGAAACAGACATTGACTTCCAATAAAAAATGGCAGCTATAATTGAAAAGCTTAAAATGTTGAGTGGTTTTGAAAGTTGCCCATTAAAACATTTTCATTTTGATTCATTATTGTCTTCATCTCTAGTTAACATTAATATTAATTAACAAGTACCTCAAGGTAAATTATTTCCTGCAACAATCCAGATCTCTCCAAAATTTCTACATAGCTTACCTATAGCAAGTTCTCCTCTATCCCTCTTTGTTCAACAATGTGACAGCAGAATTACACGCCCACACTGTCTGATAACATCTGTGTCTGTGCCTTGAGATTTCACCAATTGGAGGACAACTTGATCAGAACACAGCTAGGACGAGCTCTCTCAGCTGGCCTTTCATCTCTGCTTTAAGAGTAGGAGGTCCGTGTTGATATTTATGGCTGGCTTCAGAGATATGATGTCAGAAAAAGATAGCCAATGATCAAATAACATTCAATATTCCCACTCAGAAAGTTTCTGGGGGTTTCGGTATCTCATTTACTTCACACTCTGTCAGAGAAGAATCATAGAGAATTAAAATGCCAAGTTTTGTCATCATCTCGTAGATCAAACCAAGCATGAACTTTAGCAGCCAACATAAACTTGAAAAATCAAAGCCTCTTCAGATTCATGAGGGTAGGAAATAGTCAATAACTAAATCAAAAACCTCTAAAAATAGATTAGTTGATGATTTATAGATAAAAATAAAAAATATCAAACTGTACATGAATATCACCCTAAATGTTTAAGCGCATACTGAGGATAGCCAAACTGATTGATGCAATATAGTAAATATATGCAATATTGGGTTGACTGATTTGAATAATGGCAGATTTCTTTGTCTTTTTTGTGTTCTCTTTAAATTGTCTGAAGAAACAGACATTGACTTCCAATAAAAAATGGCAGCTATAATTGAAAAGCTTAAAATGTTGAGTGGTTTTGAAAGTTGCCCATTAAAAGCATCAGAATCAAAATGATCTGTTCCACTAGATACCCTTGACTGAAGACCAGTCCTCCTCTATCAGGGATGGTTGTCCTCCTCAACCGAGTATGAAGCTTCGAGAGGAACACACATGGAATGATGAGGGAGGAAAGGGCCACCCACATAGCCAGTCAGATCAGCTGAATCATCCCCAGAGATCAATGGGGTGACAGAAGTCAAAACCAGATCACTCTCACATCCTCCAGGTATTTTCTGACTTTCTCTTTCATATCATCAGTTACCCATTGGTTCTTAGTATCATGTTTGTAGTATCTGTGTAATTATCTTCTTTTTTTTCTTTTCCTGTCTGTGGTTGATTTCTAGTTACATACAGTTGTAGTCAGAAAAGATGTTTGAAATAATTTCTATCCATTCCATTTCCTGAGGCTGGTTGTGTGTCCTGGAATGTGATCTATCCTTGAGAATGTTTCACATGAACTTAAAAACAATGTGTGTTCTGGGGTTTTTGTATGTAAACAGTCCTGCAGACATCAATTAAGTTCAACTGTTCTATTGTGTCATTAAGAATCTTGGTTACCTTATTGATTTTATATCTGGCAGATCTGTCCAGTGATGTCAATGTGGTGTTAAGATCTCCTACTATTATTGTACTCCCTTTAATTTCTCTTTTTATATCATTAGTGTTTGTTTTATGTATTTAGGTGTTGTAATTTCCTATACCAGGGGAATGTCCACACCCAGGGATCAAATTCATGCCTCTTGTGTCTCTTGCATTGATAAGCAGATTCTTTAGACTGGTACCACCTAGGAAGCCATTAATATATTGGGGTCATATATTAGCAAGTGTAATATCTTCTTTGTGTATTTATCCCTTTATCATTATACAATGTTCTTCTTTATGTTTCATTATGAGCTTGCCTTTAAAGACTATTTTGTCTTATATGAGCATTGTTACATGTCCTTTCTTGTCATTTTCATTTGAATGTTCTATTTACCTTGTGGTTTAAGTCTTCTCTTCATCTCCTTGCCATTGTTTGATTAGGTGATATTTTTAAAAATTATCTTTTCTTGAACTGTATAGTATTACTTGAATCTATGTTGTTACATCAAATATTCCTAGTAAAATCGAACTAGTCATGATTGGAGGATGAATTCATGAATGACATAATGACTATTTATTTTATATTTCAACCTTTGTCATGGAGGTATATTTTATTAATATAGTGTTCTTATTTTGTTATTTCAAGGGAATGTGTTTTTGTCAGAGAAAGTCTGGAGATTAAATTATTTATTTCATAAGAATAAAACTGAATATAAGAACTAGGGCAGAGAAAAGAAGTGGTATTTTGAAAATGATGGCCTTTGTTCCAGACACAATATGGTTGGAAATGTAGCAATTCTGCAGAATAATTAGTGACAAATATCTTTAAATACCTGTTGAAAATAGGATTATGATTTTTAGAACTTTTTCTATGACAACAGAAGTGAAATAACAATGGATGTGAAGGAAAGGTGTATCCACTGCCAAGATATAGCAACCTAGTTTTAAAAGTAAAACTTGAGGTATTCTAAGTTTTCAGTGTATGTGACTGAGATAGAAACAAGATACTTGTATAGGTGATTAAACCTCCACCTCCTCAGATTTCATAGAATATGATAACAATTNGTAGATTCACCATCAGCTCGAGAGAAGCTCATTATTGTGATCCTGGGAATCATCTGTTTTGTCTTGATGTATACCATAGTGAGAGTGATAACTTTTATTCCACGTAAGTCAGGTTTTGAAAGATTATGATTGAACCTTTTATTTTAATGATCGTCAGTGCTTCTAAAATTTCATATTATTATGGAATAGAACTTTTATTTTAATGTGTGCATTTAGCCTAAGTATTGAAGGGTTATTCTGAGATTGTGCAAAATATAAGTTACAGAATGATTGTAGGGAAAATTAAATATATACACAGATATTTTCTGATTTCATAACTCATAGATATACTTTAGGAAACTTAAACACCTTATTGAGAAAAACAAATTAATTCTTGAGATTGCTTGAACCAAGTGTTGTAAGAGGTGGTGGAGTCTCTTCTCTAAGGTTTTTGAAATATACACACCCCAGGACAGAGGAGCCTGGTGGGCTGCCATCTATGGGAGAGTCGGACACAACTGACGCGACTTAGCAGCAGCTGCATCAGTCTTCATTACCTCATTAATTATTCTTAAAGCAATTTTTTCCATATCATCCTAAATCCTAAAAACACCATGTTCAAACTAAAAACTAAAATTATTATGATTTATTTAAGTAAAGTCATTCAGTCGTGTCCGACTCTTTGTGACCCCATGGACTGTAGCCTACCAGGCTCCTCTGTCCATGGGATTATCCAGGCAAGAGTACTGGAGTGGGTTACCATTTCCTTCTCCAGGGGATCTTCCCGACCCAGGGATCAAACCCGGTCTCCCGCATTGCAGACAGACACTTTACCATCTGAGCCACCAGGAAGCCCCAATTAACTTATTTAACTCAAATTAATATTTTAAAAGATTACTTCCATTTTTTTCTAGGTAACCAAATATCAGAACAGAATAAGTCCTCTCAGGTAATAAAGCTCCAGAAAGGTACATGATGATTTGAAACCTCTAATATAAATATACTTTGTATTTTGTCTCTCTCTTAGAAATAGATTTTGGGGTAGAACATAAATTATAAATATTCCTAAATATTCATCATAAGAGAGATAGAAAAAGATTTTGGGGTAGAACATAAATTATAAATATTCCTAAATATTCGTCATAAGAGAGACTTTCTCCCTATGCAGCAATATGATCACCATATCCATTATAGGCAATTGACTCTAATTTTATCTTGCTATAAGACATAAAAAATATTGTTGTTCTAAAACAGAGGTTTTTAGTATGATATCTAAGAAACCATTGCCTAAAACAGGATCATAACTTTCACCTATGTTATCTAAAGCATTGTTTTCACTTCTTCATGTTTGTGCTTCATCCATTTTCCGTTAATTTTCACATGTGACATAAGGGAAATATGATACCTTAGGCTAGTGAAAATAAGAAAAGATTTAGGGGTAGAAGATAAATTACAAAATCGGGCAACAAACTTGCCTAAATAATGATTAAGGGAGAGTGTTTTTCCCTATGCAACAATATGATTACCATATCCATTGTTGGCAATTGACTCCAGTTTTTGCCTGCTGAAATATGGTAAAAGACAAATAATTTTGCTACTCTAAAATAAAAATTTCATTTCTTGATTTTAGGACATGTAAAGAGGAGATATTTTTATATGTTTGCTTTATATAGAGACATAAATTGGGGTATGAGAGACTGACACTGTGAAAGTATGAGTGAGATTTGTTTTATATGTACCAGCCTTGAGGGCATATAGCTAAATTATATATATACATACATGTTTATATCTATGCATACATGTAAGTTAATTTTTGTTTTTTAAAATTCAAATTGCCTTTGAATAGTAATTCATAATCTTTCTCCAGAATTTCATTGTGGTGGTTGTCCAAAAGAGTGGTTTACATATTCCAACAATTGCTATTCTATTAGTTTGGGAAAAGAAACATTGAATGCGAGTTTGATGTCCTGCTCTACTAAGAATTCTACTCTGCTTTACATAGATAATGAAGAGGAAATGGTAAGATATCAAGCGTTTCCAACACTGTATTAAAGGCTTGATTCAGTCAATATTATATTTGTTAGAGTTCACTTGTGTTTTTCTACATATTTGTAGTTGGCTTATTTTAAGATCTCTTAATATTCCATTAAACAATGGAATATGACTTTATGATACTTTATTTTCATTTTTAAACCATTAATGCACATTTGGTGATTTAGAGTTCTTCTGCTCCTTGTTAGCAGCTGTTCTGGTGGATCACCTTGTAAGGCTCACCTGTGTTGCCTACAGGATTCTCTCAACACAGGAGGAAAGGCTTACCTGTGCCACCTCCTACAGTTAGGTTAGGCATTGGGTGTTGTGAAGTAAGATGCCCAGGTCACTTTCATCTGATAGTGGGGAGGGTACGGTTCAGTTCAATCACTCAGTCGAGTCCGACTCTTTGTGACCTCATGAACTGCAGCACACCAGGCCTCCCTGTCCATCACCAACTCCCGGAGTTTACCCAAACCCATGCCCATTGAGTCAGTAATGCCATCCAACCATCTCATCCTCTGTCGTCCCCTTCTCCTCCTGCCCCCAATTCCTCCCAGCATCAGAGTCTTTTCCAANCAAAAAAATAAAGTCAGCCACTGTTTCCACTGTTTCCCCATCTATTTCCCATGAAGTGATGGGCCCAGATGCCATGATCTTAGTTTTCTGAATGTTGAGCCTTAAGCCAACTTTTTCACTCTCCTCTTTCACTTTCTCAAGCCCCCTATACAAGATGCCCATAATTATTTTTCCCACATCTCCCACCTTGTTCTCTTATCATGGAGAAGTGATTAGAGATTACAGAAGATTAGGGCTACTGGATAGTCTCAAACCTCTTCACTTTTCTCTTCCCACCATGCAGGGTTCTCCTTTCTTGTGTCTTTCATTAGTCCCTGTGTCTACAGTTGAACTGAGCAGGGAGTAACAGAGAGAAATGATTCTCTGACCCCTTGTCTCGTCCACTGGATTCCACAGAAACAGATTGCTTTGGGGTTTATCTAGTCAAAGAATGGTGTCAGACTCAGAAAACTAAATCTTCGGCTCTCATGTCACTTATTTTCTCAATTTCATTCCCTTAATTTTCTTCTAAAACTGAAATTCTGAGGAATGTATAATTGTAGAGAAATGCAATGATATACTCACAGTATCCAGAAAAAAGAACATCACAGAATCTTAAAACTTATTTAAAACCTTGTTATGTTAGTTTTGACATGAGTAAAAACTAAATTACATGAATCAGAATTTTCCTTACTGCACATATTCTATTCAGTTACTCCACCTTCTTATCCCTCGGGCTTAAGGTTAGATACAATTCACAGTTGTCAATATCCCAAGTTAATATACTAAGTGTATTCTTTCTTGGGATATGTACCACTAATTCATGTCTTTGTAAATACTCCCTTTATTAAATGGTCCTCAAAAAAAATTTCTTATTAACATTAGAAAACTGTGAAGCTGATAAATATAAATGTTTAAATTAATTTTAAATCAAAAGTACAGACATGGTCAATATTTATTGCAATATTAAAAATTCCAACTTACAACTTTTATGATTTTAGTATTACATTTGGAATTTAACATGCTCATTCTATTCAAAGAACTAAGTTCAGTTCAGTTCAGTCGCTCAGTCAAGCCCAACTCTGAGACCCCATGGACTGCAGCACGCCAGGCTTCCCTATCCATCACCAACTCTTGGAGCTTGCTCAATCTCATGTTTGCCATCCAAACATCTCATCCCCTGTCATCTTTTTCTCCTGCCTTCAATCTTTCCCAGCATCAGGGTCTTTTCCAATGGGTCATTTCTTCACAGCAAGTGACCAAAGTATTGGAGTTTCAACTTCAGCATCAGTCTTTCCAATGAATATTCAGGGCTGATTTCCTTTAAGCTTGACTGGTTTGATCTCCTTGCAGTCCAAGGGACTCTCAAGAGTCTTCTCAAACACCACAGATCAAAAGCATAAGTTCTTCAGTGCTCAGCTTTCCTTATGGTTCAACTCTCACATCCATATATGACTACTGGAAAAATCAAAGCTTTGACTAGACGGACCTTTGTCGGCAATGTCTCTGCTTTTAATATCCTCTTCGCTTTCTGCCATAAGGGGGGGAGGGGGAAGGGGGTGTCATCTGCATATCTGAGGTTATTGAGACTTCTCCTGGCATCTTGATTCCAGCTTGAGCTTCATTCAGCTTGCCATTTCATATGATGTACTCTGCATATAAGTTAAATAAGCAGGGTGACAGTATACAGCTTTGACATACTCCTTTCCTTATTTGGAGCCAGTCTGTTGTTCCATGTCTGATTCTAACCATTGCTTCTTGGCCTGCATACAGATTTCTCAGGATGCAGGTAAGGCAGGTAAGAAATACCAATTTCTCTGATATTCCAATCTCTTTAAGAATTTTCCACAATTGTGATCCACACAGTCCAAGGCTTTGGTGTAGTCAACTTTTATGTATTATAGTGTTAGATGTAAAATCTAACATACTCATTTTGTTCAAAGAACTAAAGATTCTGTGAAAGAATGCATCCTTTGACTTGCATTTTAAAAATTAATAAAAATTTTTCATAATGATATTTAAGTGAAAATTCTTTATTTTGGGCTAGAAATTTCTGATGTCCCTATCAATTATGTCGTGGATTCCAGTCTTTCGTGAAGGTCGTGGTCAACCATGGATGTGGCAAAATGGTTCAATTTTCAAACTAAAGTAAGTTTTTAAAATGAATGCTGTATAGAAGAGGAAAAATAAAGAAATATTAATAATATGAATACATTTGTTTTCATTGAATTATAGAAAGCTGAAGAAGATGTTGAAAGTTAATAAAATGTTGATATAAATGTTCAAAAATGGGCTTCTCTGTCGCCCATTTTCCTAATAACAAACTCTTACTGAAATTTTATTAAAAACATCATCACCCATTTTCAAAATACCTTTTATTACAGTTACATAGAAATACTATTGCTTCATGAGTTGTCTTCATAGAATATAACAAAATTATGCATTTTTTTTTCATAACAGTATAACAGACTATTTACCTGATGAATACTCTTACTGAAATTTTATTAAAAACATCATCACCCATTTTCAAAATACCTTTTATTACAGTTACATAGAAATACTATTGCTTCATGAGTTGTCTTCATAGAATATAACAGAATTATGCATTTTTTTTTCATAACAGTATAACAGACTATTTACCTGATGAACATAAGTGTGCTGTACTATCCTTATGGGGCATAAAAGCAGAAGACTGTCAGATTCCAAATGCATATAATTGCAAGCATAAGCTTGAGAATTAAAAAGTGAGTTTGGATGCTGTTGAGTAACTTTATCTTTTAGAAAAGGAAATATTGTTATGATTACATAAATTTTGAAATGAATTATTTGTTTTCATAATGTTTTCAAAAACTGTTAAAACATTGAAATTCTGTAAATTCCTTCAATAAAAATTCCTTCAATAAATTCCTTCATAAAAATTGAAAATAAGCATAAAAATAAAGGTTCAAAATAAAATAAAAAATAAAAATTCAAAAAAATTTCCTTCAATAAAAAATAAATTAATTTTAAAAACACTGTTGAAATATAATATGCTCACCAAAACGTATAGATATCACTCCTTTTGTGTCTGGCCATCTTTACTAAACAATGTTTATGGCTTTCAAGCTTTCTAAAATGTCACATTTTCTGAGTCTGTTTACATGAAATGTCAAAAAATGTGATATTTGAGAACAAGGACCAAAAGTAGCAATTACCAAGAGCTACGGGGAGATGAAAAAGGAAATGACTGCTACTTGATCAGTGATGAATATTTTCTAGATATTGATAGTGGTGATGTTTGTAAACTGTGAACATATTTAAAATCACTGATTTATGTAGTTTATATGGATGGATTTTATGGTGTGTAAATTGTACCTCAATAAATCTGTTTAAAATAAAAGCTTCTTGGGGCTGCATTTAATATTTAAAATAATTTATAAAGAGAGTCATCTTTAACATATTGGCTGTTCCAGTCAATATGCTTTATCCTTCCATGAGTTAGGTTTTCTTTAAATTTTCCCTGTCAGATTTTGTGTTTCTCTATTTTGAGATGTTAAATATACATGGGTGTTTCATAGTCATGCTTTTGTAAATGACACTCTTATTTTAAAATTTTAGTAATTTTTGGTGCAGTAAAGAGTAATATACTGAGGTTTACATGTTGGTCTTATAGTCAATAATTTCTCTTACTTTTTGTATTAAGTCCATCATTTCAAATATTTATTCTTATGGATTTTATATGAGATTAGTATATATATAATAGTTGTTCATGTCTTTTTTTCAGGTGCAATTATTTTTTTTCTTCACTTATTTTCATAGGCTACAATTTCATTTCCAAAGTTGAATAAAAGTTACAGTAAAGATTCTGTATCTATCTCTTCTTAGTCAAGGAAGAGATTTCAATAGTTCATCCTTAAATATGAGATTTATCTTAAGGTTTTTTTCATCATATGTTTCTCATGTGAAACCATAATATTCTCATTTTTCAAACAAATTTTATAATCCATTGATGTTGATGTTACATTTGCATTATTTTCCATCAGTTGGAATGGTAAATGTTTTCTTTTTATAACGATTATGAAGTAAATTACCTTTATTTCTTCCATTAAACCAATATTAAACCAATCTTGCACTTCTGAAACAAAATCACAGTGATCATCTGTGTTGCCCATTTTCTTGAAAAATCAATGCATATGCTATGTCTAGATTAAGCTGTTTTTCTTCATCTACATTCACAAAGAGCTTTAACTGAGTTTTCAGTTATGTCATGTACTTGATAGGTTGTTACGAAAGCTATTATTAGGAAGTATTTCTCTTTTTCTTTTACCTGAAACTTTGTGAAAGAGGACTGCTACATTTTTAAGTGTTATTATTCACTACCAATGCCATCTGAGCATCTAGAACTATTTTGTAGAAAGGTTTATATAATGAACTTAATGTTCTACAATTTATGTTAGGTTTACTCAGGTTTCTATTTGCTGTGCTTTATTTTGTTGATTTGGATTTTAGGATTTTTCTATTTTATATGGACACTAAAATGTATTCATAATATTGCTTTTTATCTGTTTAGTATCTGTAAAAACTATACATTATCCCTTTATTTATTACATGTAAAAGATTTGATTCCTCTTTTAAAAAAAAAAAAGTATTTTTGCCTCACCTCATGGTTTTTTGGTCTTACTTCCCCAAACAGGTATTGAACTTGTGCCATCAGCAGTGAAAGCATGGAGTCTTTACCACTGAACCACCTGGAAATTCCCCCTTTTCAATTTTTTTCAGCAGTCTTTTATCCATTTTATTAAATATATTAAATAAGAATACATATGGTCTTGTTGTTTCTCCATATTGCAATTTTGCCCTTTGTCTTGATTTTGCACTAATTATTGCTTTCTTCCTTCTACTTCATTTGGTTTTAATTTCACCTAATTTTACCTTTTTCATTTTTAATTTCTTGTGATGCAAACTTAGATTTCTACTTTGTTTTGTTTTATTTCATTTGTTAAGTAAGCATATAAGACAGTCAATACTTCACAAGACAGACATTTGATTTTATATTTATCTTGCAATTCTTATAAAATTTTTGAACATTCATTCATATTCTTGCCTGGAGAACCCCCATGGACAGAGGAGCCTGGCAAGGACTGTGAGCCCCACAGTCCATGGGGTCACAAAGAGCCAGACATGACTGAACAACTAATCACAGCACCCACCTTTCAAATGCCCAGTTGTCAACTTGTCTAGAGGCTAATGTAGTGACACCATTACTATATGCTATGTGAATATTCTTGGAAATGCGATTTTAAATAAGAATACATATGGTCTTGTTGTTTCTCCATATTGCAATTTTGCCCTTTGTCTTGATTTTGCACTAATTATTGCTTTCTTCCTTCTACTTCATTTGGTTTTAATTTCACCTAATTTTACCTTTTTCATTTTAAATTTCTTGTGATGCAAGCTTGGATTTCTACTTTGTTTTGTTTTATTTCATTTGTTAAGTAAGCATATAAGACAGTCAATACTTCACAAGACAGACATTTGATTTTATATTTAACTTGTAATTCTTATAAAATTTTTGAACATTCATTCGTATTCTTGCCTGGAGAATCCCCATGGACAGAGGAGCCTGGCAAGCCACAGTCCATGGGGTCACAAAGAGTCAGACATGACTGAACAACTAATCACAGCACCCACCTTTCAAGTGCCCAGTTGTCAACTTGTCTAGAGGCTAATGCAGTGACACCATTACTATATGCTATGTGAATATGCTTGGGAATATGATTTAGAATGTATTTTTCAAGTTTTCTGTTTGCTCTTAGTTTCATTGAACTTTTATATTGCTTTTCTATCTCTATTTATTTCCCCTTCAATCTTTGTTATTTCCTTCCATCGATTAAATTTGGTCCTTGTTCTTCTTTTTGAGGTTCTGTAAAGTGGAAGATCAAGTTGTTCATTTGATCTCCTTGTTTCTTCTTAATGTTGGTGTTTCTTTGCACATTCATTGTGCAAAATCTTTTAAGTTAAACTCGGTCCTATTTGTATTTTTGTTTTTATTTCCACTACTCTGCAAGGTGGGTCTTGCTGTGATTTATGTCAGAGGGTGTTATGCCTCTGTTTTCCTCTAAGAGTTTTCATAGTTTCTGGTGTTAAATTTAGATCTTAAATCCATTTTATCTTTGTTTATGGTGTTAGAAAGTGTTCTAGTTTCATTCTTTAACATACGGTTGACAGGTTTTCCCAGCATTTGAATCAGTTCTAATGAGGTGGATAAAACTGCAGCTTATTATACAGAGGGAGCTAAATCAGAAAGAGAACCATCAATATACTATATTAATGCATATATATGAACTTTAGAAAGAAGGTAACAACAATCCTATATGCAAGGCAACAAAAGAGACACAGATATAAAGAACAGACTTTTGGAGTTTTTAGAAAGAAGGTAACAATGATCCTATATGCAAGGCAACAAAAGAGACACAGATATAAAGAACAGACTTTTGGAGTATGTGGGAGAAGGCGAGGGTGGGATGATTTGAGAGAATAGCATTGAAACATGTGTATCATCATATATAAAATAGATGAACAGTGCGAGATGGATACATGAAGCAGGACACTCAGAGCTGGTGCTCTGGGACAACCCAGAGGGATGGGGCCGGAAGGAAGGTGGGAGGGGTGGTTCTTGGATGGGGTAACACACGTGCACCCATGGCTGATTCATGTTGATGTATGAGAAAAATACCACAATATTTTACAGTAATTATCCTCCAATTAAAACTAATTAATTAATTTTAAAAAGACTATTGGAGTGGGCTAGCATTTCATATTCCCTGGAGGATCTTCCTGACCCAGGGATCAAACCCTCATCTCCTGCATTGGCAGGCAGTTTCTTTACCTCGAGGGCCACCTGGGAAACCCCATTGAAATATCATACACACATTCAAAAATATAGGTATCATTACTTTTGTGTCTCACTTTTTTTGCTCAAGAGTATGTTTATGGCCTTCAAACTTCTAAAAGATTGCATATTGTATGAGCCCATTTCCATATAATATCAAAAACAGGAGTAGAGAGACCAAAAGTAGATTAGTGATTACTAAGGGTTGTGAAGAGATGGGAATAGGAAAAGACTGCAAATTGATTAGTGATGAATGCTTTCTAGATTTTGATAGCAGTGATGGCTGTAAACTGTGAATAATTTTAAAATCATGGATTTATGTATTTTAAATGGATAAATTTTATGTTCTGTAAATTATACCTCAATAAAGTTTTTAAAAAATAACTGCTTTGGGACTGCATTTAATCTTTAAAATAATTTCTGAAATAATCGTCTTACAATATTAACTTTTCCAGTCAATATCACGCTTTATGCTTCCAATCAATTAGGTTTTCTTTAAATTCTCCCTATTTTATTGATCAACTTTTATTATTTGTTTATTTGTGTGACCCTGTTCAGCATGTGGTATCTTGGTTCAGTGAACAGGGATCGAATGCCCAATCCCTGCACTGGGAAGCATATAATCCAAACCACTGGACCACCAGCGAAATCCCCCTTTAATATTTTATAGTTTCCAATATTGAAATTTCACACAAATATGGACATTTCATAACTATACTTTTCTAAATAGCAGTTTTGTTTTTAAATTTGTAGCAGTTGTTGCTGCTGCAAATAGAATTGTGCCCAATGACTTCTCTGATTGTATGTATTAATTTTATCATTTCAAATATATATTCCTCTGGATTTTTTATATAAATAGTACATCTCTGAATAATCACATTTTATTTCTTCCCTCCAGGTGCAATAACTTTTTCTTGTTATTCTTTTCTTTTTTTCTGTTTTTCTTGATTTTG